TCTAAGCAAGTAATTCCTTAAAAAAATTGCTAAAATGCTTACCTGTTTGAGTAACACGTTCACCCGTCTTGACAAAATCCGCCTTTACTGTATTTTTTTCCTCAGTTGCCACTTGTCAATTTTAAAATCTACTATAAATTGACCATAGAATAACCTAGTAAATTATATTCGAAACAAGTGATAACACAACCTTTGATTCAGATTTTTTTTCTAAAAACGGGCAATCACTGCCTGTGGGCAATTACTCTCTGGTTTACCCTATTTAAATTTATATGATTAAATTATCATGTTCACGCCAGATGATTTTTTTACGAACTGACATTTATAAAGAGCATATTGGATTACTCAAAATTTCAAATTACGAAAGGTGAATAATAAAAAGAAATGATGTTAAAGATCAAAGACAAAAAGTTTGCATGTAGTAACCTAGGACGAAATAAACAGTCGATGGACGACGCAACTCTCTTAGTTACATTCCTTGGATATGTTTATTATTATGTAAATTATAATGTTGTATCATTAATACCTAGTATCCGAGTAGCATGACACACTGGTGTCATCCGATTCAATGTAAAAAAATGATCTCTTCCATATTCTCGAATTTAGGTACCTTCATTGTTTCAGACACCATAATACAAGTGCGTTAGCTACTCATCTTGGAATCTGAGCAATATATTCTTCTCGGTACAAGGTCTCCCGCCGTAGATTTACGAACCGTTGGCGTAGCTCTCGACCTTCACAAGTGCTTGTAACAGCCTAGACTGAATTAAAAATACAAAAAAAAAAAAAATATATATATGTATGATGTTGTCTATAATGTTTTTCTGCCTATTTAACTTTCATCCGACATCCCATGTGTCCGAATCAACGGAGCATGCCGCTGTTCACCTTGCTCATTCATAGAGAATATTTTAATGTTTTCGCACATTACATAGACTCGACACTTATAATAATGAGCCGACTAATCGGAGCAGTCAGCGGCTGAACCACTAAACTGTGACTATTCGTCAAAATATACCGATTAAAATCAACACTAATAACAGTTCTATGATGATATTTTTTTATCTCAAACATGTAAGGTCAACAAACATGTAAACTCAAACATAAGTAAATTGCATTGCAAGTTTTGAATGTATCATATCATTACATACCTAAGTATCGAAACTTAACGGTAGTATTTTCCAAAGTAGACTGCGCAAAGCATATGGACTACACAAAAATATTGGTCACATTTCGGAAAATGATCAGAATTTAAATAAACTTAACCTATGTAATTCATTATTGGTAAATAATCATATTAACCTATAAATGGTCCGAAAAGTCAAGAAAACTAAATACAAACGCGATGAAACCGTTTAAAAGTTGTTTCATTTATGGATAGTACGCTTGAAAATATAAGAAATCAATATTTAAATACTCATTTCAGAAACGGGGAGTAAGAGTTAAAAAAATGTGTAAGTCTATCCTACTAAAATCAGATGCTGCCAACAATAAATAAGCTGTTATTTGCCAAACAAAGAATAGTCAATATCATAATACCTTTGAAAAATTCAACATCCACACTTTATTCAATTCAGAGGTTAGAGTCTGGCAAGCGAAACGTGTCACAAGAAAAGGGCGGCAATTTCAAAAATTCTTAAGCAGTAAACACTGAATGTAGTACTGCAAAATAATTTTGATACTTTTATTAATTATATTTAATCTTAACATTTAGATATCAATTAAAATTATTTGTTTTGGAACATTTGACTAAAGCGTGACTGTTCTTAATTGTACAGTTAACAGCATATCAGTAGGCCTATTCACTAACTCAACTGACAACCAAGAATCGTCATCACCGTAAAAAATAGACACTTTGATTGTGTCAAAATCACTATTTCGTATTCTCTATCAATGATGAGCAATTTCGAAATGTCAATATCGGCATTCTCCACTGGACTCCATTTTGACACTTGATTTCGTATCGATAAACTGTATTAAAGTAACATTGTTGCAAAGCATATTTGAAGTCGTCGCATAGTACCTCTTAAGCCATTTGTTGTTAAATTAAAGCGAAAAAAAATACGTATCCAATATTTTTCTATTATCTGACTGACGGACTAAATCGAATCTTTTTTTTAACCCATTCGTTATACCTATTGGCTAACAGCACTTATAATATTAAAAATTCATATTTGTCATTAATTAAAAGGGTGTTTTTTGCAACGACTTCTTTGTTTTTTTGTAATGAATATGGGCGACTCTGGCCACATTTTTTTAATAAATGTGATGTTAGCCAATTTTGATTTCTGGCCCTTATATTTATAATGTGTTCATAACACATACATGTCTCCTAAGGGATTTTCATCACAACCTTTTGCTCTGATCCAGAACCACTATCTATCAAATTAAATTAGTCAATATAAACACCAGATTACAATAAAAAAAACATTTATTTTTGTTACAATTAAGTGCCATGGATAAATTACATAATACAGGTGTCACAAAATCATCATGTTAATCACAATAGAAAATTTAAGATAAGATTTTGACTATGAATCAGACTAAAAATACTTTAGTCTGATTCATAGTCAAAATCTGTTTCTAAATATTCTACACCTGATAACAATGACAAGGAATCATCAGAGTCACTCTCTTCACTACTGTCTGCACCAACAGATATAATAAATTTTTCAAGTTCGTTTTCAACAATGCCATCTTTTAATTTGTAATCATTTTCGACATTTAAAACATGATCAGTGTATTTCTTCCAGTCACTAGGGGTAATTAAGTTAAAACACTCTATTATTAAGTTTTCCATTTCCTTTCCTGGTATTCCAATGTTTCTGCTTGCAATTTTTCTTTTTGCTTGACTCCAAACCATCTCTATTGGGTTTAAGTCACAATGATACGGTGGCAGCAATAAAAGTTCATGATTATGTTCTTTTAAAATCTCTTCAGCTTCATATACAGGCAATGTTTTCTTATCATTAACCAAACACATTAACTCTGCCTTTGTCTGATATTCCTCGGACGGATACGGATATCTGCTTTGGTATTAGACATTATAGGCGGTTTATTGATTTGTTTTATATGGTAGCTGGCATTATCCATAACAATTACACTGGGCTTACTTAAATTTGGTATTAATTTTTCTCTGACCCATTTCATAAAGTTCGATGAGTTCATATCATCATGATAATCAGCAGATTTGGATTTACTACTGAACACTAATAATGCACCAGGCACAAAACCTTCCTCAGATCCAGCATGCACAACAATATGCCGTTTTCCAGAGGATATCTTTGTAGTGACACCAGTTGTTGAAGGTCCTTGCCAAGACTTTTTAACTTTATAATTCTGATGTACATAAGTTTCATCAAGGTACACAATTTGCTTTCCTTCGTTTCGTTTTATATTTATTTCTCTCAAATACTTGTGCCTCCATGCAGAAATCTGGTATTTTTCTATAAGCATAGAACGTTCATTTTCATTGCTTTTAAAAGAAAATCCATTCTTAAGCATAATTTTTCGTAAAGTCTCACGGCTACCACTGAATCCTATTGCATCTTTTAATTCATTGTGAAGGCTTCTTAATGTTGGAACAATTTTATTCACACAGTAAAATTCATTTACTTTATTCCGAATTGCACTTAAATCAAAATTATCTAAAGCAGACACTGTTGGTTGATGAGGTCGTTTTTTTCCCAGGAGTGTCCCATTTTCCTTTATTAATTAATGCTTCATTTTTTATCCTTCTTAGTGTCCTTATACTTACATCTATAAAAGATTAAACACTTTGAAACAAAGATATGTTAAATGTATTTAAAAGCAAATAATGATAGACACATACATCAAAATAATTTAAATACCTATTCAACTATGAATGCAATTTATGTTTAATTTAGTTAAGTTTATGTGCATATTTAGCATGTATAACAATTACATGGTTTGATTAGTTTCATGAATTCTGTGAATTTCCTTGTTAAACAAAACATTCTTATGACATCATTGGATGTCAACAATAAAAACCAATACATCATAAAAAACCTATGTAAATATTATAGGAATACTATCAATCTATCTTAAATCAAAACAAGAAAAGAGACCTGTCATTGAAGAAATTTTTTGTAAGTACTGCGTTTCCGAATTCAGCATTTCTTGTTTTTCTAAAGTTTTTATTGCATTTATCTCCTCCATTATTGGTTGAATATCACCATCACAGTTATCTGAAATAGAGCAATATTTTATAAAAAATATCTGTTTAGTTAATTACAGAAAATTAAAACGAAAGTATCAAAATTATAATACAAAACTAACCTAAAAAAGATACAACTTTATCTAATCGTTGTAATTTCTCCATGAAATTTTTATTTAATTCAGTTTTCACTTCAGTAAACTTGTCAATCATGATGGAAAGAAGTTTCCTCGATGAACTTTTTATCGGCTTCGACATAATTTTTAACCAAAAACACAAGTTCAAATTCGCAAAAACAACAAAATTCAATATTCTTGAATTGTCTAACGTAGTGTCAAACTGACAGTTCTATGTTGTTGCCATATGAAAACGGAAAAATAGGTGGTGTCACGTTTCGCTTGCCAAACTCTAATACACAATCTTTGTTTATTATTACGAGTGACAAAAAAATTAATGATCGATATTTCGAATGCCTTGAATAACAATTGATAGATGGTTACTCTGAATCTCGGTACTTTTATTTTTTGTTTCCCTTTAATGAACGGACAGGTAGTAGGGTCTTAATGCCATTGAACTTTACCAGTGAATTGCGAAGGCAATACGGACAAAGCGACAGAAAAATTCTTTAAACGAAAATTAAAGGGCAATGCTTTCATTTGACCTCCGCTATTAACACAATGTTAATTTGTAGTCTTCTTTCAATAGTGTGCTGAGCTGCTTGCTTCCCTCGCTCATCGATTTATCAATGACCTCTCTTTGGTTTTAAAAAAACTGCGTTTATTTCGAAAATATGATGAATATAGCTTTAAGACTCCAGGTTATCAATACAGTTAGTCTTCTACTATAATAAGTACATTCCTCAATTTACAACAACTAGCTGTTCCCACGACTTCGCACACGTAAATTATAGAATATGTTAACCTTAGCTACCTGTGGGTGAAAGAATTTGTGCAAATAAACAATTAAATATTTCCTTCGAAAATTGGACATACTGTAATATGCCGATATTTTCTGTGAGCATCCAAACCAGAAGGTCTACTCTGTTTCTCCGAAAACGAAAATTCGTCTATTTTCATAACCCTTATACGACTCTAAAGGAATACATTTTCGATAATTAATAATGAAACGGAGGTAGGACCCTGACATTGCTTCTGACGTACAGATAATATCGACGCATGATTTAAAAAAAAATTGTAAGAGCCATTCGAAATTTTTGTAATTTTCGTTCGTAAACAAACAGAGTAACCCCTCTGTCCAGTCATGACCATTATCGCCATTATGTATTATATTTTTGTTAAATTTAATTCTTATTTGAAACGCAGAGTGCAAGCGAAGTAGCTTTAACAATGCCAGTGTCTCCCGGTGGCTGGAATGAAGAAGGACAAGCGGCCGGTCCGTCGGATGGCCTGTCGTGGCGACGGCTGCACATGTCACGGGCAAAGCTTAAAGCAACCGCTACCACATCAGAACTCCTATCAGGTAAGAGAGGGTGACAATGTAGACTGACGATATAGGAAATACCACAATTTAGATGACCTAAAGTTTAGAGTAAACAGCACGCATATTTCAAGGTTTTCATCTTCTTCCCGTTCGATCTATCGTCCCCAAAACTCATAGCATACTAAATTTTAATTCTAACACGTCGTATATGTATTGTATTCAGGTTTCGCTATGGTTGCAATGGTGGAACTTCAAATCAATGAGCCGACGAACGTCCCAGAATGGCTGTTTGTCATGTTCGCCGTGTGCACTACGGTACTGGTAGCCGTACATATCTTCGCCCTGATGATCTCTACATACTTATTACCAAATATTGATGCGGTAAGCAAGATGGAAACGCCAGGGGGGCCAGCCAGAGCCCTAAGGGACTCCCCGCACGAGAGAATGAGGGGATTCATCGAGCTCGCGTGGGCGTTCAGTACAGTTTTAGGTAAGTTTTTATTCAAAAAATGTGTAGGTAAATAATTACTATTACAAATTGTCTATCTATATCTTAATTCTCAAATCTATCGCAATCGGTTTCAATTTCACATTTGAAACATATTCACGAACTAATTGACATGTGATAATGATTTTTTTAAAGATATCAAGTGTTAGACGCACTTATCTTTGAAATTCTATCTTTTTTAATGTCTTTTACAATTATGGGTACTTTTTACCGGCACTCAGTATGCAATAATTCAACATAGACTACTGTAAGAAACTCGTTTAATAAAAGTTCCCGACATCCCCCGACCGACGATTTATGCGATGCATCTTTCATTATATAGCATCGATTCTATACTCTCGGTGTAAAAGTTTACAAGGGCATACGAGTGGCAGGATATAAATGTAGAAATTAAAAACAATATATAACGTCTGATATACAAAGTGAAAGTCAGACGATGTAGCCGGGTAGCTCGAGTCACAGTTCATGATCAAATCGATTGCGTATTTTTGAAGGATGAAGTCAGAAGTCATAAAAACCAGCAAGTAACGTATGAAACAATATAATAGAAAAAAGTTTTTTAAATACAAGCTTTTATTTGTGCGCTCGTTAGATCCATCTTTATGAGGACTTTGGTACGGGATGCTTTTCAGACTGAGGTCTGGTGATGATGGAGCTCGAAGGTGGTCATAGGTACTTAGCAATAAAATAACACAACTGCATCGTATTTGAGCTCTTTAAATCCATCTTTATAAGAACAACACCATATTGAGATAAAACTAAAAAGTGGAAATATAATATTTTTCCGACTTCATCATTATATCAGCTTACTGACACCATAATATTGCTGCATTATCATCCTACTTACATGTCTACGCAAAATTTCAAATCTATCGGATATTGGGAAGTGGATCAAATTTCAGTTCCAAGATTTGCACACTCATTAACAAGACAAGTTAAATAAAAGCTTGTAATACTAGTAAAAATGGAAAAGAACTTTCATGCTATTCTGTTAAGAAACAGACTCGAACTCTTTTTCGAGGTAAATAAAATCATTTTGAATAGGTTTCATTTACCTTGAACCTGTATGACGTGGCAAACACTTACGAGGGTCAAACTGAAAGTTCTTAGAACTGGCCACTTATAAACAATATAATAAAAAAATAATTCTAAAATTTGAAAATATAACTCTTTGCCAATATTACTGAGTATATATTTCATTCATTTGTCATTTGTTTTACGATTTGGCGGCAAATTGAAAATTGTCTGTGTCACGTCATCATGAATTTAACACGAGAAAATTTTCGTGCAATGATTTTTTATGACTTTCGATGTCATTTAAGTCAACAAGAAAGTTATGATAGACTACGATTGGCCTTTCACGATGAAGCCCCATCTCGTGCGACTGTTTACAACTGGTTTAATGAGTTTAAACGTGGTCGCACTAATCTCACTGATGATTTACGTGAGGGACGGCCTTCTACGGCGACGACTGAAGATAACATCTGTGTTGTGCGGCGTATGATAGAGACTGACAAAAGAGTGACCTATCAACAGATTCGGACAAGCTTAGGCATCGGTATGAGTCAAGTGCACAAAATCCTCCACGAACATTTAGCGGTCAGGAAGCTTTGCGCCCGGTGGATACCTCATAATTTGACTGAGGCTCAAAAACTCCATCGTGTGGATTGGTGTCGTAAAATGATTGAAAGATTTAACGGAGGTGAATCAAATGCTGTGTTCGACATACTAACAGGTGACGAAAGCTGGATTTACTGTTATGATCCTAAAACCAAAAGACAATCTGCTCAGTGGGTGTTTCCTTTCGAGGAGTTGCCAACTAAAGTGAAGAGAGATCGAAGTGCGGGAAAAAAAATGGTGGCCTCGTTCTTTGGAAGGATAGGTCATTTTGCAACAATTGTGTTAGAGGATCAAAAAACAGTTTCTGCAGAATGGTACACTACCAATTGTTTGCCACTTGTCTTGGAAAAAGTTCGAGAGAAACGACCTCGCAGTAGGATCCTCCTTCACCACGACAACGCCTCGTCGCACACCGCCAAGCGAACGATCGACTATTTGGCGACATCAAACGTTGAATTACTGGGTCACCCGCCGTATAGCCCCGACCTCGCGCCTTGTGATTTTTATTTATTTCCAAAAATTAAAGAAAAACTTAAAGGAAAGCGGTTTATGAATGCTGAAGAAGCGGTGGCTGCGTATCGCGATGCCATTGAAGAGACCCCTAAGGACGAGTGGGCAAAGTGCTTTTCCCAGTGGTTCCATCGCATGCAGCGGTGTATTGACGTGAATGGACAATATTTTGAAAAGATATAATAAAACTAATAACTGGCTAATGTAATCAGTTTTTGATTTTCTAAGAACTTTCAGTTTGACCCTCGTATCTCAAACAGTTAGGCATTTTTTAGATAACGATAATGCTGAATGCCAAATTTATTAAAAATAATAATGGTATTTTGAGAACCCACATGGATATTCAAAACCCTTTTTTTATGTTGGTTCTTGTCAAAACTTCTTTATTATCTCTTGATAGATCCTGATCCTAGATCCTACACTAGGTATGGCTAGGTTGCTAAAGGACAGAAACTTTAATTCAGTATGTTTTTGTTCGCAGGTCTATTTCTGTTCCTAGTAGAAATAGCAATATTGTGTTGGGTGAAGTTTTGGGACTACTCCTTCGCTGCCGCCACTGCAGCCACCGTAATTGTCATACCAGGTAATTTTTTATATCGCATTTCTATAATCAGATTCAGACTTTAAATTACCGTATAGATAATGCAAGCGCACTAAATACTCATAAAATTCTATAACTTAAGTGAAAGATGTGAAATGTGCTTTAATACCTTTATATTAGCATTTGATTATATAATTTAATAAGTTTTTTCAAAAAGCTAAAAAGCAAAATTTCACACCTTAAATCGATCCTATTATTTCCTTTGCAGTGTTAATAGTGTTCGTGGCATTCGCTATTCATTTCTACCACTCCCTAGTGGTACAGAAATGCGAGACCTCAGTACAGGACATCGAGCAATTGGAAAGCATGAAGAGGGATTTGGATACAGCCACCGTCAAAGTGAACATGTTCTGAAAATAGAAGAGGAAATAGCGTCGGGGCATAATCTACTTTGGTGCTATTAAAATGAGCTTGGTTCTTCTACAACTAAGAACCTTGCCATGTAGGAAATTCGGGGTTGTTTTGAGCTTGGTTTTCCGCAACCAAGAACTTTATAGGAAAATGAGTTGCCGCTTAGTTAGCTTGTGAAACGATAAGATATCGGTATAGCAGCTAATCTTAACGAGATCTTACGCCGAACTATGTTTCGAGGGAGAATGAGAAATGTAGAGAGATAAGTACCGAGCCATAATTTACTTAAAGTTCTTTAGACTTCATGATGAGTAAGCCACCGAAAAAAAATCTGAATAATCTGGTTCTAAGGCTTATACCTATTTTTTTATCCTAATAGTATTATGTGTGAATGCAATAACAGTATGAATGTTTGTTTCTTCCTCAATTGTGTAGAAGTTTTTGTGATTTGTATTTTGGTATGTCTATATAAATGTATGTTAATATAAATAAAAAGTTATAAGTATAATTAATGCAGAAAGAATAAAAGGCAAAAGCAAGACATGAATTATATAAATACAATCTTGGAATTCTTTTATAAACATAGCCAAATAAATTAATACTTGTGAAACCATTTGACTGAGGCGAAGGATTTTACGATGGTTACTGCCTAGGTAATAACATTTTTAATATCTGTCATTTTTACGAAAAACAATCATCATGCCGCATCAAACGACCTCGTCTTGATGAGATCATAAAAAAACTTACTCAACGCCCACCAGAGGTAATATAACCAAAGTGTTATTTAGAACAATATCGTGTCAATACACTAATATTCCACAATCTTAAAATTCCACTCAGAAGCGTAACCTTCATTGGTGTCAAAAGCTTTTTTTTTTGTATGAGTTATCTCAATAAAAAAATATACGTATGAAGTTTTATAATGACATAAACAAGAAGATCATTCAGTTGGAAATTATAAATATATATATAATGTATATCGTCTACGTCCAGCAGTTGCATTGCAGTTCGTCTGAGATGACAGAATAATGTAGTTAGCATAACGCCAAATTTACATTACATACGACAGTAGTGGCATGAAATTAGTTTCATAGCGTTAATTTCACTAGTGATTGATTTCACGTGTAAAAGTCTAATTTCAAAATGCATGCGTTAGTTTCATGTTTTATGGCATGCGCATATTTTTGATGAAGTCGCATACTAGAAATGATTTGCATGGCGAAACTAGTGTGGGGTCACTACCGGCTCATAATAAAGCCTCCTTGCTGAAGGAGCCAGTATTCCAGAGACTCTGTTGGTTTCATGCTATTACGAAATTTGTCTTACCGTGCATGAAACTAATTTCGTAACGTAAATTCGGCTTAATAGTAACAGTAACAGTCAACAACGAAATAATCTGGCGCGTAATATTTTTGAAATAAAAATCATGTTTGAACTTTAAAGTTAAATGTAAATAAATAAGTTTTTTTTTTAATTTTCATGCCATGAGGCTCCGAATCAAAAATATTAAGTTACAATGGTGTGCCTGTAACAGGAGTGTAGGTATAGTGCACAGTACCTACAAATACTAAACCGTCGATTACTGAAAATATTAACAAAATATTTAATTAAAAAAAAAATCCCAAAACGCTGATTGTAAATTTTGATGTAATTATATGTTCTTAAAATGTAAATAATACCTACATATGAATTATAATTTAATGATATTTAGTTAATATATTTTAAAAAACATGATGTTACCATACATCAATAGCATATTTTAACCAAAACTGTCAAAACTCCTCTTGAATTGATATATCGAAGGCTTGCTTCACATTTTATGGTTATTTATTGTGATGACGTGTGTACCTAGGTGGCTGTTTATTTTGTGTATGTCTGACATGTATTATTATAAATGCGACCAACATATTAAGATGGCAGAAAATATTAAAATTAATAATATCTCGTTGATCGAGTTGTTTAATTTTGAAAATAGGTATATCTTCGATTATGTTTTAATAATTTATAACTAAATTTTATTGTATTACAAAATGTTTTTAACAGATGTTTATGACCAATTCTAGAGATTCATTCAAAATTAAATTTTTGTCACACAAGTCACAGAACAATAGAGTTGCCAGACGAATTTTTGTATAAGTAATCAGGATACAGGAATAATTAGTTATTATAAAGTTAAGCCTCGTTATATATATAAATATGTATATTTTAAAAACTAGTAAAAATGTTATTAAAGTTTAAGAATTAATGTATACTTAATTTAACCTAGTGCAAATCAATCATGATGATAATAAACTAAAACAAAGGTAAATAATTTCATATTATTTTACTACTTAGTGACATTTCATTATATTCTGAATTATATTACACGAAAATCGGGTAACTCTGATTATTAGATCTTGCAAATAGCCAAATTTGCAAGAATTGGCTATGAAAATTAAAATTGTCCACGAAGGTGTTAAACAATGGCCAAAGAAAGTAAAAGTAACCTACTTAGGTACGATTGGGTTTAGGCACACCATTACCAACAGATACGTTTTGGATAGTAACATCAGCCCTGCAATTCTGTGAAAATCTAAACCCAAATTCGAATTCACGAAAAGTAATTACCAAATCAAGATTGAGCGGATGCCGTTTTTTGAAGTAAATTCGGATACCTCGGTGAATTCTAATTCGGGTTGGATTTTTACATTTATCGCAGGGCAGGTTTCTGAATTTTAAATTTATAATTAAGAACGTCTCAAACTGTACTTAAACGTCATGTAAACAGGTTTTCGTTTCAGTTTTAAGTTTTAATGATCAGTTGATAGCAGTTTGTTAAAGCTAGACTTTTTTGACTTCTGAAACAGTCATTGAAACTAATCAGTTGAGATATTGTAATTTTCTCAATTCAGAAACCGGCTGTTATTCAAACGTCAGTTTCAACTTAATTAACTACATCTTCAGTATTTCTATTAAAAAAAAACAAGTTTGAAGACTGGTTTAAAGGAATCTTAATAATAATTATATGTATTAAATAATTAAGACTTAACATGATACCCAGATTTTGATTTTTTAGTACTTTTATTGGTAGGTATATGTAAAATAGCCAAAATTTTAAATTTGTTTTTCAAAATCATTCCAGTTATTTAAGGGTTACTTGAAATAAAAACCCCCATTTTTATTTTATACATACTTGAATTAAATGTTGTAAATTCAATAATCGTTTAATTAACAATACCCTTAGAACGAACAATGAAGTTAAGTATTTATAATGAAAATGCCCATATTACTAACCATCAGGCTAGCAGCGGAACCCTCTTTGATTTTGAAATCGATTCTAGCCATATCTAGTCCTCCGTGCGTTACGAAGTAAGGGCAAATCGCCAAGTTACGTCGGAGATAAACAATTCTTTGTTCTAATCTTTCCAGGTCATCGTTTAATCCTTTATTCATTTAATACTACTAAACTATTCTACTACTAAACTACTTAAATCGTTTGTCCCTATTTCGTAACGAACTGATAAATAACGCACTAGATGCGTCAAGAATTCATGGCAGATCCAAGGTGGCGCTACCAAACTAATGGACACCGAAGAAGCTAATTTTTAAATATTTAAAGCTCATGTATTCGTAATTGATAATTAAAAGACTATCGGTCAGTTGCACAAATGTTCATTAAGGTTAAATGACGCCTTTATGCTCTAATGAATGTCAAATTTGTATGGGTAATGTCACTTTAAACTAATGAAAATTTTAATGGGCGTTTGTGTAACTGGCAGTATGGAAGTAGAACTACTACATGAGGCATCATTAAATGTAGGATTAGAAACGAATCTCAGTAAGACAAAAGTCATTGACCTAAAATAGGCAAGCACAGCGACTATCACAATAAAGGGTACCTACGCGACTAGAACAAGTCAGCAGTTATGTCTATCTTGGTCAAGTGAAACTTTGGAAAAAAAACCAGGGAACAGAAAAAACAGGAGCCAGAAATAACAGGTTGGGCAGCCTTTGCAAAACTGAAGTTTTGGACTCAAACAGCCCAACATAGGAAAAAGTGGAGTATTGGAGTAGGGCTACACCAAACTATTTGAGGAAGGCTTGAGATGAATTAATATAAGTAGCCATTTATGTAGCATTTATCTTTAAAAAAAATACCTTATAGTTTTGTTATTATTTATTACTATCATTTTTGCGTATATAAAAGCAAACAGTCTTAATTTTATTAAAACATTGTTACATGCATCATCAGGCTTACAATATTTACAAGTAATTACAAAACTATGACTACAACTACAATATAACATACCTAAGGGTAGGTCATACTAGCGAAACGTCGAAGCGTATCGAAGTATCAATCTAAAAATATTACAAATTCTAATAATAGTTATTAATTTGGCATTACACCTTCATCTCAAGAAAGTATTTCATATTTTTCCGGAGATAAAAACGGGTCACGCATATTGAGGGAATCCGCGCGTCCCTGCCGATTTGTGCGCGCGGATTTTCGTGAATTGGCTATTTTGACTTTGACGCTTCGACTCAGCGCTGGCATTTGACCCTCGCTGGTAAGTTCTTGTTACGCTGACGAACCGAAGCCGGTGCAATGCATAACATATATGGCAAAATTAAATTTTGATTATAAATATATTCTATTTAAAAAATAGTCATTTTGGATCAATTTCTCATGAGCGACAAGTGTGCACTGATGATGTTTGTCATCACAGCTGATCCTTTATTGTCGCAGTGTAAAAAAAATCTTTACTTATAGTGGTGAGCCCATTGAATATGGGAGAAACTTTATTTTAATTTTGGTATTATAAAGTGACTGGTGCATCAGGTTCATCGGCACCTAATGAAAAGTGTAATGGCTAATACAGTAACACTAACAGCAGCCATCTTGTCGGCCTGCTAAATCTATTGACACTTTTAAAGTTTATAGAAACAGGTGCTGAGGAAGAATGTTCTACATTTTGATGATTCGACAAATATAACATACTAGCTCTTACACCCGTATCTATAGTCGAATAAAAGTATTTACTTAAGCAAATATAAAGAAAATTTTGCACTCAAAGAATTATTTTCTTTCTCTAACTATAATGAAAATAGTTTATTTACAATTTATTTATTTTTCCCTCGTTATTATTATAAATTAATTATCCTTCTTTAGATGTACCTGTATAATATCCTAACGTTATTGCACCCATTACTCCCTCCTCTCTTTACTCCTTATTATTTTTTTCCAACTACCATTAGTTGACTGGAGGAAATTGCTGCTAGGCAATGAGGCTGCCATTCGTGTACTGTTTTCAATACTTTTTTGTAATGCGTTAGTGCTATGAAGATTATTATTATTATTTTTAACGAATTAACAAGAATTAGAATGTCGTAAGAACTGTTATAGTATGAATATTGTTATTATTAGTTCATAGTATGAATATTAACAGCTCTTATTTCATTAAAATATTCGACTATTGGAAAAAAATATAAGTTATGTATTTTTTCAAATAATTACTTCTGTCGACATGAGCAGATATGAGTGGTTGTGGTCTCTTTTATACGTCTTCTGAAGGTTCGATTCGTCAGGGTAACAAAATACATTTTCTAATGGCTACATGAAAATTAGAAATGTAATGTAGTAAGTAACGAACTCATTCAGACCAAGCAACAAATATTTTTAAAAAATGTGTACATGTTACGGTTTGGCAATCATAGAATAACCACTTATCGCAATTCGTATTATGGCTCTAATGGAAACACTCACGACGCGTTGTGGCAATGAAGAAAAGCCACGACTGCCAAAACGCGTTCTAAACCATTTTTTCGCTCAAGCGATTTAGATCTTTGGAGCGTAACATACACATTACAGCAATCTTAATTTCTTTTTTGAAATTAACTTACTAAAACAATTGAAATGACTTCTTAAATGATCCTAATCTATAACAGTTGTAGCAAATTAATCATATTAATAGCTAAATTGACAGAAATCTTTAGACATATCTAAATTAAAACGTTTAACCTAAATCTTATTGCTGTCAAGATCATATCCTATATTCTCATTCCTCTTGTTATATTAATACAATAAAAATATTTTTCAATATCAGTTAAGTGAATAAAACAATAATAATCAGTTGATGATAGTAACTAAAAATGCAACAGCAGCATGAGTTTGCTGTATGGTTCACACCTGTTATATGATGCCGCTTTACATTGGAAATGCCACAGGGGTCGGCAATCTGCAGCATTTCCAATGTAAAGCAGCTCTCGAGTTCAATTTACAAGAGACAATTATTTTACTACTGAAACCATTAAAATCAAGTAATTGATCCATTGTTTATTTACCCATACTGCAATGTCTAGATCTCTTGAAATTAATGATAATATCAACAGAAGTAAAACATTAACTTATCCATAGTTGATATTCAGAGTATATAATTTTATCTTTCATTTGAACATAAAAGTTGTCTCATTAATATTATATCATGGTATGCCATGATATGGCAAATGATATAGTATGATTTCACATGTTCGCATAAGCATATTGGTTCTAACATCTAACAATCACTTAATAAATATATTAGAAGTAAATTTAATATTTCAAAATGTATAAACTAGATTTAAAAGGTGAAGCTATAATTAATTAATTATATTTGTATACTTTCGTGTCTGTAATGAGATAACTTGTGTTACAGTTCTAAAATAATTGTTTTCACTTACATTATCACATTTCTATGTCCATACTACTTTGAGCTGCTACAAGTAAACCATTTCTTTTTTGTGTCTCCTCCTGCGGTTCAAGTTTCTGTTCTTTTTCATCTTCATTTTCTTTTATTTTTTCTAGAATATTCTCTTTGGGTTTCCACACAACAAGGGACATTTGAGGTTTTTCTAGTCTGTAAAAGTAATTTTATAAACATATATATAAGTTTATTAAACAATATTAACATAATAAAATCAGTAATCCAAATACATCAATATTGTAAAAATATATTTTATAAGTTCGATAGTGGTGTTGATCCCCTATACTATAGGGGATACTATATATTCTATAGGGCCTATAGAATTATCTATGAGGGATCAACACCACTATCAAACTTATATTTAGCAATATAGAAAATTGAATAGATATTTGGTAATTGCTAAGCCAAAACTAATTGAGCAAAACCAATAGTACAAGAAACAGATCAACAATCAACCCCACTTTGTAGTATTATAAACCAAAACAGAGTTTGCTACACACCTTTCAATAAGAGCTGCTGGCAATAATGGTTCATCTTGTATTTTTTTAATTTCTTCTGATAAAACTATTTTGTGGCCTTTGAGTCTATCGCAGAGAGATGGTGTCTGAGCTTCTGTCATACCCACATCCATTAGCTCTTCATTGGCATGACAATGTGTTGTATAATTTGATGAAATGTGTAGACCGCTGAGATGAGCTGCCATCTTTTCTTCAGTAATGAGTTGTTTTGCTGGTCTGAAATAATAACAAAATTTTACTTACAACACATATAAAATGTGACTGGTGTTCAGTATTGGCCAGTTTTATATATTAACAGATACTGGCACAAGTACTTGGGCTTGAAGGATGCAAGACTATAATTGGAGACTATACACAAAAATGAACTGCAGAGCTTTTGAAACTCAACTGAACATCAAAGTTATTAAATGAGCCTTAAACACAGCTTACACACATAATTGATAAATTAAAACAAATAAGTGTGGAAAATTAGAGCCCTCTAGGTTAGGTTAAGGGGGCTCCAATTTTCGACACTCAGGCACACTAATTGGTCCATTGTGTGTGAAAAGTTGGTTGTCTTAATCCAGCCAACTCAACTGTGCCCAAAAGAGCAGAAGCTTTTTAGGGTCTTAGCTTTGCAGAGCTAAGACCGAAAAGTGCTTATCCCCTATAACCTAACCTCAAAGTTAACTGGGCACTGAAAACAAACAGACACTAATTTCACTTGACATTTAGTAACAGTAACGTTTACAGATATTGTAAACAGGAAAGTGGAACATCAAAACCTGTAAGAATGCGGACCAATCCCTACAAAAAATATATGTAAATCTGGGACAACATATAATAAGCCCAATAGCTCTGCAAGCCAGGAACATAATAAGACTTCTTAAAGGCTACTAAGCTAGAAAAGCAACTATGACTGTCTGTAACTTTAAGATTGCAGTGACTACAGCTCCATGAGGAACTGCATAGTATCTTATAACTAATAATTATAGTAACAGGAAAATCAACATCTTATTTACTCAAAAATATATTTTAACTTACATTACGGGATCCACAACATCTAAACTCTTCCTTTTGCAATGTATGACAGGTGAAATTTTCACTTCACCCACTGGAGGTTGTGCGGTAAACTGAACCAATTGAGGTGGTGATTGCAAACCCCAGGCGATACCTTGCATATTCCATGGTGTACCCGTCGGTGGAGGCATTGTATGTGGTTCAGCTCCACGATTATAAGGTAAAGACGACGCTAGAGCCTGCTGCGCAAACATCTGTTTTGCTAATTCATCAGACTGATTAAATGGGTAAGCATGATACCCGTAAATATCCATTTTTGCTTATTTCGTTTATCTCTTTCAGTATTAGTATAACACACTTTTAACGATATTATTTACGATGATTTACGGCAATAGCAAATCGACAACACAAAACAAACCACTGACAGATATTAACAATGTGACAGATTCACTTGCGATTCATTCAATTCAATGAACGAAGATAGTCGACGACGAATGTTCTTGAACGTTCTGCTATTATAAAAACACAGGCGCACACACCTGCAAAGCTATGCTCTTTTTTATGTAAAATACTTAAAACAGGACTAATAACACCGAAAAATTGTAATTACAAAAATAAACCTTATCACTATCACTTAAAGTATACTTTAAATTACTCTTTGAACAGAAGCTAATCCGAGCCGTGAAAGGTAGTCACAACGGAGGCCGTAAGTCTCGTTCTTTCATCTTGCCATTATATGAAAAATATATAGAGCTGTATGGAGCATCAACATCCTTAGCCAGTCCCAAACAAGAGGGACAAATGAACCAAATAATAAAAAAAATATCATTCATTAAAAATGGGGAAGTATTTAAAAAAATAAAGAAAGTAGGATCTAAATGTCAATGAAGTATTTAAAAAAACATTAGTTCCCGAAATCAAACTAGATGTCGCTACGGTACGGTTTTCAAATTTCAGTTTTTTATATGTAACTTAAAAGAAACAGAAATTACTGTTTTTCGTTCATTTGTTTCCTGCAAAAATCAACTTTTGCTAGAGTCGCCATCTGGTGTCGCATTTTAGTGCTTGCGTTTTTTTTAATACTTTCTCAAGGAATACAACGAATTAAAATACTTTCTCATTTATGACACTAAACCAAAGAGAATAGAATTGTCAGTGTTGTTATGGATCCGATATCTTGGATTAATAACGATTTGAAATTCAATGAGTTAGAATTTAAAAAATAAAGTAAGCACTAAAAAGCACCTCACTACATGGCGACTCTAGCAAAAGGTGATTTTTGCAGGAAACGAATGGATGAAAGATAGTCATTTCCTTTCTTTTTAACTAACCAATTAAAACAACTGAAATTTTCAAAGTTTGAAACTTAGATATCAATACAAATAAGAAAAAGTACAAATAGAATATGAGTTTTTAGTGAGTTTTGAAAATTATTTTACTTTAATAGATGAAAGTAAACCGGAAGAGTTGTCATGGAAAAATCAAGAACGTACCGTAGCGACATCTAGTTTGATTTCGGGAACTAATTTTTCTTTTTTAAATACTTCCTCATTAGTACGAGTAACGCAAAGACAACTCGTTGAATAGGAACAAATCCTTGAATAAATTTTGTTATTATTTGTATAAAGAAAAATAGAAACTAATATAATGGAGGTGAGCATAGAGAAGGCTTTTCTAAAAATTAAAGAAATAGGCTTTTCTTCTAAATATTACCGTGAAATAGTTTTTATAAATATAATACTTATGCCATAGTAGGTCTCGAAATTTTTCATTATAATACTTAACAAAAGTTTTGAAAACAACTAGTATGTTAGTGTTGTTGCTATTAGTTGTTTGCTGAACTTTTAGCAACAAAACTACATCAAGTCTCAATCTCAATCATATTTTTATATTATGCGTGGTGAATGAATGATTAGGGTTTATTAATCAGCAACTGAACTACTTTATTTTGTCCATTTTATTTTATTATGAATATTGTATATTGATTTGTCAATGAGTATGTAGGATTTCTAATATTATAATGGAAAGAGACTTCATAGTCTAATTAAGTCACATTCCAATAAGAATTGATTTTGATATTTATGCTTAATGGCACATATGGAAATATGACACATAAAAACAACACGCTGAATTCAGAGCTCCGCTTTTTGTTCTTGATTCCAAACCTAAATTCGGATGAATCGAGTCAATCAAAGTTACGAGCAACTAAGTTGGCTTATACCACTAATGTTGACATATAAACCAAACATTGTTCCTTTACACGTAACATAACAAATAACTTAAACTTACGATTCAAATAAAATAAAATTAATTTGTAATTTAGATATTATAAGAAACATGAAACGATGTCATATTTATTAATATTCAATAGGTACTCAATTTACTTTTATTTCGTCAGAAACAAAATTTGAATGACTAACATAGACAAAGATCGCTAGTGACATCTAGTTAATTTTTAATTTTGAAATACTTCCTCATTGGCAAAGAGTACCAAAACACGACCGCTCAGCAAGCCAGTTGTCAATAAAAAAAGAAGTGATTTGTGAAGCTTATTCTTTTTATAACAAGAAAGAGGTAATATAAAATGATGATTTTGGCGCCCTGGGCAATTGCCCCCACTTGCACCCTAAGATCCAGGCCGTGTTAAAATTTGTTTTTTTTTTATTGAATGTTACTTCATCTGCACATGTAACTTCAATCCAGAGTTGATTATAGATTTTTGCAAACCTTATTTTAAAATTGCATATCAATTCATTACTTCTCATAAATGTCTGATAAGTCGTTGTTGGCAACTTCAATAAAGTAATCATATAAGTGTTACCGTTAAAGTTATAAAGTATTTATTTAATTATTTGGAAATATTATTTCTATCAAACTAAAAAAAAATACAAATCATGCGCGATACATCTGTTTTCTAATTTGTTAGTAAGCTTCATGATCCGATGACATGTGTTAAAAAGGACCTCTCCTTTTGTAAAGAATTTATGAATAGCAACTTGGACAGCTATTGCCATAAAGTCTTATCATATTCACATATGACAATCAGCTGTCCACTATTAAAATTTGGACATACATATAATATACATTTATTATTTTCAATTTATTCGATGTTAGATTTCAATATATTGAATTTTTTTCGATATCGTTGTCGCCGTTTCTTTTGATTTGATTTTGTTTATTCGTTTTGTTTCCTAATAGATTGATCTTTTTTGGGCCGTTATATCGATACATCGGTTTTTGTGATATATCGTACATCCCTATAAGCATTGCTATGCAAGCACGTTTTGGCGCGGCATACTCATCTCACACTCATCTATTGCCAGAGTATCTTGTTCTGTGCCTATTGCACTCTTGTCAATAAATAATAGAAAGTAATTAATATAGGTACACGATATTGTTCCGATTGCTGGTCTATAAAACTCATTGAGAAAAAGTCAAAACAGCAGCGTTAAAGTGTAAGTAAATACATACAATTAATTAAATCGTTATTACTTTATGATCCATTACTGTGCAAGAAAGACCTAAGATCATAACTTTTTTCGTGTTTGTAGAATGCCTGCTCAAAGAAAAGTTTCCATCCGACAGACCGAAATTCTTATAAGCTTTTTAGAAGCTAATAAGGAATTTGCAAAAGGACGCGACTCACAGCAAGGCGGTCTTTTAGGAAAAGTAGCCTGGGAGCGCCTTACAAAAAAATTAAATAGTTGCGGGAGCGGTACAACTAAAAGTGCCAAAGAATGGAAAATTGTAAGTAGTAAATTATAATTTTACTAACTGTTGTTCTACAACTTCACCCATATAGATTATAGCCTATGTAACCGGCATATGATGTAGCTTCCCTTAGGTGAAAGAATTATTAAACTCTGCTCTGGTTTCCAATCCTATTTGATGCAACCAAACAATCAAATTTACTCACAGTTAAAGTTAAAAAAAAAATTGTGATTATATATTTTTTCACTAAAATAAATCGAACTATATTTAAGCAAAAAAATATAAATTTTAGGTTCAAGTCCCATCCGGGACTTCTACAACTAGTGAATTTTTAAGCATTTTTCTTAAAGAAGAATATTATATAGCATTGTGAATGCAAAGTTGATCAAATATAATAAATTAAAATAAAAAAAAAAAGTTTCACCCTGACATTTGCTAAAAAATCAATTACCTGTGAATTTATAGTACTGGAACAATGTCAAATACAAAGTTCGCACGAAAGCAACCCAAATTCGGCGTAGAACTGGAGGTGGTCTAGCCTTTGTGGGCGGTAATTTGACACATGAAGAAAGTCGCATCTTGGGAATACTGGGAAATGAGAGTTTCAATAGAGAAGAGTCCACGCAGAACCCTTTTCCAGTAAGTGTATGTATAGCTTATATAATAACTGTTACCTAGAAAAAGAATTATTTTTTTATTATTCTGATCTTTAAATATGAAACAAAAAGTCTTAATTACTTAGTGCAATGATTAGCCTGTATTAGGATACATAAAAATATCAAACATCCCTTTATGATGATATACAGCCAGTGGCAGAATAATGGACATAAAACAGCTATTATTAATTATAATAGTTATTTTTTTTAAAATCATGAAATAATAACTGTTATTATTACTAATGACTAGACTATGCAAAACTTTTCTACATTAAGAAATTCTTAACAAAATAAAAATAATATTTATTTTTTTTCAATAAACATTTTAAAGAATGTAAATTCATACACAGTATCTAAATTATGAGAGTTAAATAAAGGCAGTTTACTTGGCCTAGAGTGGCCAAGCTTAAAATCAGCTTTATACAGTAAAAAATGAAATATTTTGACTTTTCAGGAGTTCAAAACAGAAGAGCCAGCAGCCAGTAACAGCCAGGAAGGTAGAATTAATTATATTTTGCTATACAGTGGGCCCCCGGTGATCCAACAAAAGTTTTACAGGGCAGTGTCGGACCATCGAGTCGGATTATAGAGTACTGTTTAAGACCCCCTATAGTTTCGATTTTTTTACAAAGGAGTACCTTGTAATTCGACAAATTACAGATCAGATCATCAGATAAGAATCTATATGTTATAAGTACTCTGAAGTACAAATGTATGTTGAATCTAATTGGTAAATTAAACAACATAATATAGAGCTTATGTATTAATATAATGTATTAATGCTAGAACTTACAAAAAATAATAACTAACTTACATAGGTACTAAAATAATTTGAAATTATGAATAAAAATTGAATCAATCAATTTATGAAGCATGAAAATATTCATAATATTCATACGGCCTACGCCGTATTCACTTGCCAAACTACTGAAAGATTCATTTCGATTTAAGTTATCTAAAATATCAGGTCGACATTACTAGGTACGTATAGATACGTAATACACAATGAATAAACAAGTAGGTAAACAATGAAAGCACGCACGCTAGGCCGCGGACCACTATCACCTGTAGTCAAATTCAAACTAAGCAATCCGAATCAAAACAAAACCTACATGTCGAGCGCAATAATGGTGGCGCGCACAAGTTGTGACCTGTTCAATCATGCATTACGTAACTACCAAAAAATATTCGGACATGTAGGATTACAAGGGGCGCCGGATTAGACAGGGGCCGGATTACCGGGGGTCCACTGTAGTTATTATTCTTGTCCACTGAGGAGTCCATGCTAAATAATAAACAAGTACCCGTCTTATTAAATGAGGACTAAATTTAGTACCATGTTAAAAACCATTATCCAACCAAATTAACTGAACACTTCTTAATATGACATTTCATCTTTTATCATTGTCAATTTGCTTTAAGCGGCCAATGGTTTAAATGTAGTATTAACTTTATTACTCAATTTGTAATAAGACAATCATAGTTTTTCAATGTCATGTCTAACATTTGTCTAACAGCCAGTTGCACTAACATCCATTACAATTGTCATTAGTTTAAAGTAGAATTACATACAAATTTGACATTCATTAGAGCTTAAAAGCGTCATTGAACCTTCATGGACGTTTGTGCGGCTAACCGTAATTTACATAATATGAGCACATATGGAGTCCTTCACTGTGTGTGGACCGATATGCATTTGGTCAGTATTTTCAAATTACAAATGTTTATTAATTTTGCTTGCAGTATTATATTTTGAGGAACAATATGGAACTTATGATGCAAAAGAAAGAAATGCCATTAAATCTCCAGTGTCAGTGCCAGATACAGATTCGCCATCTCCAGCTTCGGGTCCAGCGGCTCCGCCCCCAGAAGGTACACCATAATTTCCATCTAAATCATTTTCATTTACTTAAAGAGCTACATCCATACTAATCCACACTATTAAAATGTGAATGTAACTCTGTGTGCGTAACACCCAGTTGTACAGATATTCTTTTAGATTTAATTACTACCTAAAGCTCTAATGAATATTGTAAATTTGAAAATTTGGGCAACTCTAAACTACTGAATCAATTTTAATGAAATATGGGTGTAGACCGTAAACAAAAATAAAAAACATTTTTTATTTGGCAGTGCTAATCATAAAAGAACAAATATTTTATTCTCGTTGTCTTTACTCATATCAGAACTTAGAGAATTAAACCTTACGCATACATAGAACGATATTAGTCTCAGATGTCTGTGACGTCATGATAGAAGTTGGCTATTTCGCGGGAGTTTTAGGAAATAAAATTTATTTATATGAATGACACGTGATTCAATATTTTTATAGATGTGTTTCATGTATATCTGATACGCTCAAAGATCGAATTCACTCATTGAGCAAAAAAATGTTGACAAAGCGTTGTGGCAATCGCAGAATAACCACTTATACTACATTCATTATAATATTAGAAAAAAGAGGATCACAGAAGCAGCAGTGCAGAACATTTTATTCTTAAGAGAAATTTAAAAATATATAGATACTAGTTTTGGTGAAACTTTGAATGTTAGGTAATCTAAATGAGTTAGGCAAATTTCCATTTTCTCAGGGCTGAGATGAGGCTAGCATTTTCTAAATTCAAATTCCCAAGCCAACATTGAACTATATGTATCTGTTGTTTTTATAAATTCTAATTGATGTTGAAGTGTATATAATTAGAATAGAATTTAGCTATATCTATGCCCAGGAAAGAAAGGTAAAAAAATGAAATTTTTATAATTGCTTTTATAACATTTATTCAGATATTATTAGACTATTCATTAAGGCATTCGAAAAAATTCTTGAAATGTCAAAGGTAATTGTTGGAGGCCACTCAAGCCTGCACTGGAATCATCCATATTTAGCAAAAATTTACAACAAAAATAAAACTTTAAGAAAACAACAATAAAACAATAACAACTCAATCACGGAAAACGGCAAAACAAAAGAAACGCAGTAGCATTCACAATGAATGACAATCCCAGATAACATACGTATTTTGACTATTATGAATACATCATAATCTGACAAAATTAAAAAGCTATACTGCCGAAACGTTTGAAGGGATTAGACGTTTTAAATTTGGTAGAGTTATAGTGACATGAGAATCGTGCCAAAACTATCCAACTCTGCTTCTTTAAGATGAACAATTTTTATTGTAATAGATATTAAATCTTTTAAGTTAGTCAGATACTCATAAATTTGTTTAATAGGTAGCTTAAGATACAACGATTAAGTATAGCAGCTGGTATTTAAGTGGATATGTGGCAAATTAGCCGTTAGTCTTAAGAGTAACATGAATTTTGATATTTTGTCACAAAGTATACCATAAAAAAAAACCTTATTTAACTTCTGTCTAATGGTATAATGAATGGAGTTTAGTGAAATTCGTGTTATGACTAATTTAGTTCCCGAAATCAAACTAGATGTCGCTATGGTACTTTCTTGATTTCTCTATGACGACCCTTCCGGTTTTCACTCATGTATAAAAGTAAATTAATTTTCAAAACTTAATAAACAACTCGTATTCTATTTGTACTTTTTCGTATTTGTATTGATATCTTTTTAGTGCTTTCTTTTTTTTTTTTCTTATAATACTTCCTCATTGAAACACTTAAAATATTTCTTTTAAAGCCTCATTTAAATCCACATTTTAACCTTTTTACACTGCAAAACTATGAAATAGTAAACCAAATAATTCAGCTGTTAACCGGCCTGGTAAATTTTATTTGGTGAAACTAATATTTGGCGTATCTCTAGTTTATATTTATATTAAACTTATTTTATTTCAGATGTAAGATGTATACCGGACATACCTCCATGGGCACGAGAAGTCGAGGAGAGGCATGTTGCAGCCCAAGAAAGAACAGCAGCGGCTCTCGAGGGGATGCTAGGTGTGCAAAGAGAAATGTTAAGTATCCTTAAAGCGAAATTCCCAATCTAATCTTGCTTTTAAGACACTTAGGGCCTCTTTCATCATCTTTAAGTAGGTTAACGGGATAGTTGACTACTTTTTTATTATTGTAGTTACTAAGAAATATTACAGAAGTAACAGTGCGTCGTTTCGGAGATATGGTGCTGTTTTTATTGAACTGCTACTGATGCGCCGAAAACGCTCTCGACAAATTTAGGCAAAGAAGTGACGTCACATTACTACGTTAGCGAAAAATGTACAAGCATCTGAGCAATCTTTGTAATATATTTGTTATTTGTATGTTTATAGTTGTTATAATGAAAGTTAAATTTTATATTACTAATTTATGTATTTTAACAATTATTATTTTTGTAATATATTTTTCTTATTTTTTCAAGTTTTCAAATTGTAATATTTACCAAATTAGTGTAATGAAATGTATTTTGTTTAATATTCGTAAGTTAAAATGATCTATATTTTCGAAACAGAAACCTGTTTTTACACTTGTAGGCGACATCCCTACTGTTCAATAGCTAGTATATAAATTAAACCTTTGTGGTACAATATAATGATGACTTTTATTGTTTTAAAAATTGACAAATTATTGTTTTGATTTTGCTATACAAAATTTATTGAAAAATATAAATTATATTTAATATTTTCTTTGTCGGATTACAATCCCAAAGATTATCTATTAACCATCAGTTAAAATCACTGGTAACTGAACACACAAATTTCACTATGCTTATACCAGCTTTTATTATTATTATGTCACCAGCATATAATGTAACTTTTCATAAATACTAAAATAACTTCAAATCACGTAAACAAAATTCATATGTATGATACAGATATATATAAATATTAGACTTCAAGTAGATAAGTGTAATGGCAAAATGCCTTTTGAAAATTTTTTTTTTTTCAAGTAAACTTGTTTAAACGACTTTTGATTCGTCCAAATAAATTCAATTTTTATTTTATTTATTATCAAAAAATAAAATCCCCTACCACTCGTTCAGTACGTCTTTTAGCTGACAAGAAGAACAAGCGAAAGAAACTTACCAGCTCTTTATTATAAGTAATGACAATTACATAAATCATATTAGTATGTATTATAACAATAATAAATACAATTTTGTTATGTAAATAATGCTGTTTTGTTGTAACAACAGCTTAGTGTCAATTTTTTTAGTATTGGACGCACAGCTAGTTTGTAATCTGTTTGAGTAGATTACTTGAAAATTTATGAAAATACGCCCTGTAGTAGAGAAAAAGTAACAACTTTGCCAGTCCTGTTAGGTCATGGGTAGCTCAGTGGAGCAGTTGCCGGATTACGAAAGGTCATGGGTTCAAGTCCCATCTCAAAGTGTCAGGGACAAAGTGGATTTTTTAAGCATTTTTCATTAACAACATTTTACTATAGGTGTACCAGAATCAAAATGGCAAATCGGTAAATTTTAAGTTGTAGAAAGCAACATTGGGGTAAAGGATGATGACGTCTTGATACTTGTTATATAATAAAAACTTTTCAATAATTACCTCGTAGCATTTAACATACTCCTGACCGAATTCCGATCAGGGCAAGTTTTGACGTATATTAGCCAACTGCGTAATATAGCCAAACACATAATATAGTAAACAAACATGCACCTGTGTACTATATATTAGCAACATCCAATATTACAATATATTGAGAGCATCTGACCCAACAGAAAAACCCAATAATGTTTTACCTGACCCGGAATCTAACATGAATAAATTTAAAAAAAACTACCTAGTCTAGCCATAAGTTCTGTTACAAAGAAAATAGCTGATGATTTCTAAAAAAAATAATAAAACTCAAAGTAAAAGCTGTTTTGATCTTTCGACTCTCTTTTGTTTTAGTGCCTGATTTAAGGTATGTCCTGTGTATCTCCGGTAAGCCCCTACCTAAGTAACCTAAGTCTTGTTTGATAATCCGAGAAAGTGTCCTCGGTGGAATTCACATTTCTCTGGAAAGAAAGCTTCCTTATAGGATTTTGATGAATTCTGGCCTTGACAGCATTAACGACCTGGTTTGTTCGAATAGACCGCGGTCGGCCGGATCTCTCACGGTCATCAACAGACATGGTTTCAGTGTAATGGTACGATATACAAACATTGGCTAATCCTTAACTTTTTCAATGTACATATCAAAAATGTCGGCTGCCTCCTTACCTACTTTGTACAGTGCAATTACTGCAATCCTATTCTCTTTCGTGCACCTCTCCATTATCAAAACAAATTATTTCTAAACAAAAAACACAATAATGGCGGAAAAGTAGTAATTTTATTTTCGTAGAAAATAATGTTCGAAATGTTTTTTTAAATGTATGTAAACACCCAGTTACAGAATTTATGGCTAGACTAGGTATATATTTTATTACTTATCTCTACTAATATTGCAAATGCATGTTACACATCTAAATCAAATCCGCTTTAATTTATTTTCTTCTTTTTAACGTTCCTGTTTTCGCCCGGCGTGTAAAAATGCCTTCATATAGTCTTCATATTGCCTTCATAATTAATTTTATAGTCAACAAGCCAACGGATATTTACTAATTAATTCTTTAGAAAAATGAAGTATCAAGACTAGTCGTTGCTAGTTACCAGTCAATACATAAACACACTGAAACCAAGAAATTTCGGTAATTTTCAGCTTCTTTTCATAAATTTCGCTATAAACATAACGAGATCTCGCGAGTTTATGAATATCAATACCGCGAGATCTCGCGAGATTGGTACTTTTGTGTGTTTACTGTTTTACTTGAATATTTATTCAAATCGCAATATTTGAATAAATTAGGAAAAAATATAGGAATTATAGATATTATGAAATGAACATTTATTTTTACGGATCAATAAAGTTTTATGTATTTAACTTTGTTTGACGCAATTATATATTTTTATCTCAAATCTTTAAAAGAGCAATAACTGTATTTAATCTCGGAAACGGCTCCAATAATTTTCATGACTTTTAAGTATGCAGTGGCTTTCAGAGGCGATAAACCGACTTAGTATTTTTTTTATATAAAAATGCCGAGTAAAGCTTAGTCATCCAGGTCTTTCAATATTTTAAGAAACTAAACTTTAACGTATCTAATCAAATACGAAATGAAATAAACAACCAATCTTCTCTGCTAATATCAAAGAAAAGTTTAATTATAATATACAGTTTATGACAAAAATACAAACACTAAAATTTAATTCATTACCTAAGTTGAATTTACTATTAAACTGAGATTATTATCAATGAAAGAAAACTATGTGTACCCTGAGATCTATTAGAAATTAGAGAATAAATTTACATAAGATACCAATCAATTTAAGGGCTTATTCGTTTCACATCACGCGTCATTATTACGAATAATTTTAAAAAGGGTGTTATTTAACGGGTTAGCATAGTATTCACATTTCTGCTAGCAGAAAAATGTATTCTGTCAGTTGAAATATATGATTGGTCAGCAGACCATGGCTAGCAAACAATATCAAATCAATCGACAATTTTTTACATTCTGGACGGCTGTAATTATTTTTTATTAGCATAATAATCATATAAGCTGCAATGAGTGACGCATGTTAAATACAATTTTGAACAGCACTTAAAGTGAAGCAACTAATCTAATTTTGTGAAGCATATAAAAATAGCAATAATGACTGGCGCAAAATGGGCGCATTCCTTACAAAAATAACGAATGGGTATTTAGAGTAAACTAACTAATTAAATTAACTGCCTCCGTGTCCTAGTGGTTAGAGCGTTAGGCTCTCGATCCGAAGGTACTGGGTTCGATTCCCGGTGGGGACACTCTCAAATATTTCTTTGTGGGTTTTTCCCAGTTTGGTTAGGACATTGCAGGCCTGAATCACCTGATTGTCCGAAAGTAAGATGATTCCGTGCTTCGGAGGGCACGTTAAGCCGTCGGTCCCGGCTGCTACCTACAGTACTCATATAACACTCGCAAAATATCAAAATTCACACTAATTAACATAAAACAAGTTGTTATCACTGTAATTTGACAGCTACTAATCGCCGCATAGACACCGAATGACAATACACGCACGCGATTGGCTACTAGTATCATGCGACTACTCTTGCTTTGCCCACTTTTAACGTACATTGCAGACTTTTCAATAAAAATGCAAACCAATTAGTTATTCTTCTAACCATGCTTTAAATACGCAAACCGATCAAATGAACTGCTAACCGGACAAATATTTCTTGCTGACCAATCCTGAATCTTTCTGATCAAGTAGTTATTTTGGGGATAGACTGTTTATTTGACATACACATATTATTTTAAGCTGACTGTATATGATTAAATTACTGATCATTATCAAGATTATTTTCGAAACAAGGATTGCCGATTGTTTTATTTTTCTTGCATACAAAATCTTTAAATGCTGATCAAACGATTAAAATACTGATTTTTGTGGCTAACCAAATTTTTTTATGGCTGACCTTTTAATTACTTCTCTTTTAAAAATAGCTTCATAAGAAACACAAAATGTCCAAGGAATCTTTGCTATTCGTCTTATTATCGTGCTGGCCAGATAAACAGCCACTGAGAAGACCCTTTCGAAAACAAACGTACTGTAAAAGTGTTAAAGTTCGCCATTTAAGCCCTCGGACTCGCACTAATACACGCTGCCGGACTAAGAATAAATCGTTTTCATGCTCGAGTGCAATCTCGTTAAACTCGCGAGATCGCGCCCATTTTTCGACCGAGATCAAACTCGCTTAAAAGGCCGAGATCTCGCGAGAACGAGATCTCGCGTGGACGAGATTACATTCCCTACTTGAGATATCAATGGCTTTTTGGGCATTTTCACAAATTACATTTATATTTTCCCATAAAGAATCATGTCCACTTTCTATACATTGATTGAACAGTCACATATATTTTTAAAGGTCGCGTCTACTCACCATTAATTATATAATTTGAATTAGTTTTTGCTTATAGTTATAATAGAATAATATCTCTTTACACAGAACTCAGAAAAGAGTTTAGAAA